ACGCCAGATTGGCCATGCTGGTCAGCGTGGAAGGATGGTCCACTCCAAGTTTGCTCTTGCGAGTCTCCATCACTTGCACAAACAGCGACTCCGCCGCACCCCACCGGCCCCTGAGGTTATAAGCACCGCCAACCAATGACATACTCCATAGTGTATCTTCATGCTCCCGGCCAAATACCTTCTTCCTCGCTCTCATTGCCGTAATCGACATTTCCTCTGCGTCAACCCCATTTCCAACTTGCTCCGCGTACCACGCCGCTCTGTATAGGATCGTAGCCCACATCTTCAATGACTCTTGACCCTCTGGCTTCTGAGTAACCGCCGATTTCGCATGCGGGAAGAGCACCTGGCATATTGCCCAGTTTTCGTATTTTCCAGTCGGAAACTTCGAGGAGAGATTTACGAGGAATTGACGCTTCCATTTTTCCCGCTGTCCGTGTGCTTCAAGCCATTTCCGGGTGGCAAGCTGAACTAACCCGTGCATTTCGAAACTGGATCCGCTCCCTGTGATAGAAATGAATGAGTAGTCTCGAAGAGTCAAGATGTCGTCCTCAAATTTATCGTCTCCATCCTTGCTTCTATTATCATCTGCACTGTTGTCATCACTGTCCTCGCCAGTGTTAATGTCCTCTAACGCGTCGCTATCGTGATCTCCCTGATTTTCCTGGCTATCGCTTTGCTCGTTTCGATTTCGAATTAGATCTTCCGGAATTCCCTGCCGATCGAAGAAGCTCATGAGTGATAGCAACTCTGCTGCCGATGTTTTAGTCTGACGAATGTGGTCAAAAGATAATTGCCATGTGATAATAATGGAGTTCTTTGCATCCCGGTCTCGGCGGAGCTGTCCCTTTTCAAAGTCGAGAAGACTTGCCTTCTTGCGATCACTCTTCCGAAACTCTTCTAGGTATTGTCGCACGGAGCAACGCGGAGCGCGGTGAGCGATGTAGGACGTAGCTTGGACCATGGCAAGCGGCATGAATTCGAGCGCAGTTGCGAGCTCGCTAACCCCGTCGCTCTCCTCGATGCCTTCCAGTTTTTTCTCCAGCAATGCTACCGCATCCGCCTTACTCATTGGCTGGACTGCGATTATGTCACGCCGCTCAACTAGCTCCAACGCTGCGCTTCTGCTTCGCGTCGTTACGAGAACGGCTCCATTTTGGCACCGCGGAAGATAGGATTCAAGTGGCCGCGAGCCCTCACTATTCAACCCTCCCTCTCCTTCAATACCTCCGTCGCCGTAGGATTTTAGGAAGAAGCCAGCATCATCGACATTGTCAAGTATGAGCACCCAAACCCTCCTCTCGTCGCGAAGCCAATCGTGCACAAGCTGAAATATATTGGCTTTTGGGTTCTTTCGGCCGGGAAGCTTGAGAAAGTTTGCAATGTCTCGGTAGCTATTCTCAAATCGCGCTGCGTTGCTCGCGTGGACCCAGAATACCCACGTATTGGGTGAGCGCTCTCGGGTGCGGTATGCGTATTCGATGGCGAGCTGCGACTTGCTGTAGGATGTTAGCTACCGCCGAGGACACTCTTTGTTTTTTCTTACCCGACACCCCCCAGCCCCACAAGAGCAGTCCGAGAGCCTGGTACAGCACATTTTCGATGGATCTGGTCGAGTAGATCTCGTTCGATAAAATCATGGTCTTGACTAAATGGCACGAAGGCTGACGGGTCCGGTGGAGTCTCTGGTCGTTCTATAGTAGGGTTAGGCCGTCGTTAGCGTCGAGCGTCTAGGAGCCCTCGCAACCCACCAGGAGGGAGGTGGAACTCAGTGCTGACCGGCCCGTTGATGATGCCAGCTTGAAACCCAGAGTTTCCCTCACCAAAAGACATCGGGGAGGCCATCACAGCAGTTGGCAGTCTAATTGACGGTTGTTGGTGACAGGTACGACAAAAGCTCAGCCTGGTGATGAAAGCGCTCCCCATCAGCCCAGTCAAGGCTGAGGCTAGAGGGTCGACTCTCCATCCTCAAGGCCGTTTTACAAATGAGCTGCCCACTTCCACCATTCGTCCCAGGCACATCATCAAGCCAACCAGTGTCGTTCCTGATGCCTCATTGAACAGCTGCCCTCAGATGGATCGTCCCGAGCTTGAATGACATACGAAGGACGTGGACTTGGCGTTCGTCGCTCCATAATTGGCGCAAAGCCCAGTTAAGAACACCATTTGATTGGTGGCTATATTAAAGAGAACGATCAGTGGTTAGAGGCCCGATTTAACCTTGAACGAGGCCTTGCGCTCACGGCCGTCCTTCCGTGCTCTTCACACTTCCGCAAATCCTCAAAATCGAGGGTTGCGAGTTGTAGGAACGGTGTTCTCCCCTCTATACCCACTGCTTAGTGCACATATTGCCCCCGTTGACACTCCATCTCAAAGCAAAGCACATCCCCTTCGCTAGTTTGTTGCGGATCGTTGCATCCTTCATCAGTTGATTTGCAGACGCAATCAACGCCTGGCATATGGCTGGGTCATCTTCCTGCGGATCTCACTTGCGCCGATGGACTGGTACTTTAACCTCGTTGCAGCTTACACTTGCTTCGTCGTTGCCAGAATATAGCACATTAGGTTGATACAACCTGTCGCTGTCCAAGTCGGGTCGCTGCAATTCCTGCTCAAGCCTCGGATTCTTTTGGATAACAGGTTTGATTGTACTCTTGGTGCTGTGCCTACTAATCTTGGGCTGCGTTGCGAGAGCACTGACCGCTGTTCACAAGAATGCTGGAGGTTGGTCCAAGAATTTGGTGTATTGGAAGCTCTTCTCCTCCACTGTCCTAGCAAAGTCACTAGAACACGCCACCTTTTCTATTGCGAGGAGATCTGACAACAATATCGCCAAGACAAATACCATTCGCCTCCGTAGGAGCACCGCTGCCCATGCTGGCCATTAAGCCGACTCTGATATTGAGAAAACTATAGACCATATCTCTAGTAACGCTGCCGGCGGTCAAAATGCCGGATTCCTCATCAGGAAGTACGGCATGGCTATTATTGTCGTTTTGAGACACACATTCAAGCCCTTCATGATCTCAACGCGAAATAGCTGGGCTGCAACGCTTTCGCGGGACAAGGCGCAGATCCAGCCGATTGGGTACTCTAGTTTTAGCATGTTGACAATAGTTTCGTTGCTAAATACCATCTTCAAATTTAATAGCTAGCCCTTCCGTCCATCTCTTTCATGATCCAACGGTGATGTTACTCACCTACAGTTCAGACTAGAGAGAGCGCTCGACAAGATGACATTGCAGGCTGAGGTTATGGTGCCCCTCGCATAGAGGGCAACGTCGGGCTCGCCCGCTTCGGCCTCGCGCCCCGCACCTTCATCTGATAATACAAGTCTCATTTCAAGTTACTATTGGCTTGCTAGAGAAGAGTCTGTCGCGTCGAATCGACTCTGGACTAGCAACCAAGGTAGGGGCGGACAGCTCATTGACAAAGTCGCTGTGAGGACAGCCCAGCCGAAGTTCCAGTCTCAGCCTCGTCCGGGCTGAGCTCAAGTGCTTCATTACGCCAGGCTGAAGTTGCTGTCGTTGTGCTATCGAAAACCATCCGCTCCGACTATGGCCGCCGCAATATCCTTCGGCGATGCCAACTCCGGCTTCCAAGCTGGCATCATCAACGGCCCGGTAAACGCTGAGTTCCATCTCCCTTATGGTAAGTTGGCACAGATCCCAGGCGATCGGCGCTAACTACGGGCCGACCCCAGAACGGCCAGAGACTCCACCTGCCCCGACAGCGGTCATACCGTTCAGTCGCGACCAGCAATTCGTCGAACCGGGGACGATACTCAAGCAGATCGATCAAAAATGCGTGGTTCCAGGCTCAAGAACTGCGCTTGTCGGTCTAGGTGGCGTGGGGTAAGTACGACCGTAAGTGACACCAGCCGCACCTAACAGTTCACAGCAAGTCGCAACTCGCCATCGAATACGCATACCGCACCCGAGAGCGCTCACCCAATACGTGGGTATTCTGGGTCCACGCGAGCAACGCAGCGCGATTTGAGAATAGCTACCGAGACATTGCAAACTTTCTCAAGCTTCCCGGCCGAAAGAACCCAAAAGCCAATATATTTCAGCTTGTGCACGATTGGCTGCGCGACGAGAGGAGAATTTGGGTGCTCATACTTGACAATGTCGATGATGCTGGCTTCCTAAAATCCTACGGCGATGGAGGTATTGAAGGCGAGAGAGGGTTGAATAGTGAGGGGTCGCTACCACTCGAATCCTATCTTCCGCGGTGCCAAAATGGAGCCGTTCTCGTAACGACGCGAAGCAGAAGCGCAGCGTTGGAGCTAGTTGAGCGGTGTGACATAATCGCAGTCGAGCCAATGAGTAAGGCGGATGCGGTAGCATTGCTGGAGAAAAAACTGGAAGGCATCGAGGAGAGCGACGGGGTTAGCGAGCTCGCAACTGCGCTCGAATTCATGCCGCTTGCTATGGTCCAAGCTACGTCCTACATCGCTCACCGCGCTCCGCGTTGCTCCGTGCGACAATACCTAGAAGAGTTTCGGAAGAGTGATCGCAAGAAGGCGAGTCTTCTCGACTTCGAAAAGGGACAGCTCCGCCGAGACCGGGATGCAAAGAACTCCATTATTATCACATGGCAATTATCTTTTGACCACATTCGTCAGACCAAATCATCGGCAGCAGAGTTGCTATCGCTCATGAGCTTCTTCGATCGGCAGGGAATTCCGGAAGATCTAATTCGAAATCGAAACGGGAAAAGCGATAGCCAGGAAAATCAGGGAAAGCATGATAGTGACGCGTTAGAGGACATTAACACTGACGAGGACGATGATGACAACAGTGCAGATGATAATAGAAGCAAGGATGGGAACGATAAATTTGAGGACGACATCTTGACTCTTCGAGACTACTCATTCATTTCTATCACAGGGAGCGGATTAAGTTTCGAAATGCACGGGTTAGTGCAGCTTGCCACCCGGAAATGGCTTGAAGCACACGGACAGCGGGAAAGATGGAAGCGTCAATTCCTTGTAAATCTCTCCTCGAAGTTTCCGACTGGAAAATACGAAAACTGGGCAAAATGCCAGGTGCTCTTCCCGCATGCGAAATCGGCGGCTACGCAGAAGCCAGAGGGTCAAGAGTCGTTGACGATGTGGGCTACGATCCTATACAGAGCGGCGTGGTACGCGGAGCAAGTTGGAAATGGGGTTGACGCAGAGGAAATGTCGATTACAGCAATGAAAGCAAGGAAGAAGCTACTTAGCCAGGAGCATGAAGATACCCTATGGAGTATGTCATTGGTTGGTGATGCTTATAACCTCAAGGGCCGATGGGGTGCGGCGGAGTCGCTGTTTGTGCAAGTGATGGAGACTCGCAAGAGCAAACTTGGAGTGGACCATCTAGATACGCTGATCAGCGTGGCGAATCTGGCGTCGACGTACAGGAATCAAGGTCGATGGGAAGAGGCGGAGTCGCTGGAGGTGCAAGTGATGGAGAC